CACCAAGCACGACAAAGGCTGCAAGTTTGAGAAACTCTCTAAACAGAACTCTCATTCCAGAAGTTTCTGTGGGACTCTGGGTGGTTGAACTTAAATCACTTGTGCCAGGCTTTAAAAAAAAAGTCTGAAGATTTGTAGAAGCAACTGTGTTTATTAAATAATCACTGGTGGGCACCTGGGTGGCTCAGTTGGTTAAGCGTCTGACTTCAGCTCCAGGCATGATCTCGTGATCTGTGAGTTCAAGCCCTGCGTCGGGCTCTGTGCTGACAACTCAGAACCTGGAACCCACTTGGGATTCTGTGTCTCCCTCTCTCTGCCCCTCCCTCACTCATGCACTCTCCCTCTCTCTCACTCTGTCTCTCTCAGAAATAAATAAACATTATTTTTTTTTTTTTTTTAAATAACTGCTGGCTGTCTGGGTGGAGGCAAACAGGGTGGGGCTTAGAACTCTGCTCCCTCAGAGAGTGGAGCCTGTTTGCTCGGAGCTAGACAGCTGCCATCTTGCTCATCATGAAGTCAGACACAGAGGCCACCTCAACTCACACCCAAAGACGCCCCTGTGACCTGCAGCATCTGGCCTCGGGGGCCAGTTGCAGTGACGTTGACCATCTCACCTGCAGCTCCTCCTGTAGAAAGCCACCCACATGATCCTGGGAGGCTGGGATCAGAGCAGAGCACCCAGACACAGCAGGCAGCTCCCCGGGAACAGATCAGGAGAATGGGCCTGGTTCCAGACTTGTCTAGACCAGCAGGCTACCACTGCCCCCCTGTCTTGCCACCCAGTGGGAGGGATGAAGGCAAGATGCTCTTCTCCCCATTTTACAGGTGAGTAAACAGAGGCATGCAGATACTTGCCCCAGACATCGGCAGCCGTGGAGAAACCAAGGCCAGACTGTGTGGGGGTGGGTGGTGCAGACTGTGGAGGAGGGATTTCTCTTACCTTCTTCTGTATGTTCTTTCACCGAAGTGAGCACCTGTGGCCTGTGGCCCCATGTCTCTGGAGCGGCATAGACCATAGGGAAGCTAGGGGTACAGAATGGGAGCAGTGACCCTCTAGGATATGCCTATTAGGGGTCAGCCCCTGAGGTCCTGGCCTCCGAGGTGGTGACCGCAGTTGCTGAGGGAGGAGGAAGGACCATTTTCTCTCACAGTCCGCCACTGGGTGTCTGGGTGCCAGAGAGATTGCCTGAATGCCAAGGTACCAGAGGTCCAGCCCCTTCTGACCCCATCCCCGATCGAGATTCCAGCTGTGTGTTCTTGGCTTGGACATTTCATCACGCGGAGCTTCAGTTTTTCTTTTTTTTTCTATTTAAATGTTTACTTATTTTTGAGAGACACAGAGTGTGAGTGGGCAAGGCAGAGAGACAAAGAGAGAGAGAGAGAGAGACAGAGAGACTCCGAAGCAGGCTTCAGGCTCTGAGCTGTCAGCACAGAGCCCGACACGGGGCTCAAACTCACAGACCGTGAGATCATGACCTGAGCTGAAGTCTGACGCTTCACTGACTGAGCCATCCAGGTGCCCCTTCAGTTTTGTTTTTTTTTTTCCTACAAAATAATCTCCTTCCCACTTTAGAATGTCTGGGGAAGCCCAAGCAAGAACACGGTGCGAAGGAATGCTTTACGAACTGTAAAGTGCTGTATCCATGCCTCTTCTTCATTTTCCTGTTCTCCTTGGAGACTAATTCCTCTGAGTTGGCTGTTCTTCTGGGAAGTTAGCAAGGTCTCCTAGCTTCTCTGACTTGTGTGGAAACTTCTCTGGATCAACAGTCACTCTACCAATTTCATTGTAAAAAATATCATTTTTATTTTGTATTCAGCTCTGTGGTGCTATTGTGCTGCTTTCTGGTGTGTCAAATTATGAGCCCAAGACGTTTCATGCTGAAGCTTCTTGGCTTCTTTGCTACCATTTTGCACCCCTAGCTTCCCTGTGTTGCTGCCGAGACATTCAATAAAAGTAATGATGAAGACAAAAACTAAGATAAAATCAAAGTTAGATTACCTCTCCACTCCTCCCCCAGCATTGAAAGCTCAACCGAATTCCATTTTTAAATTCATAAAACACTGTGGGAGCTACTGAGGTCTGCAGTAAATGCAATTAACAATGATGACAGCAGTAATGGATCCCACATTTTGTTATACTTTATTTCAAGTCTGCTACCTAAGCCTCCACGGGGGTGCCCAGAGACTTTGGAGGGTTCTCAGCATCCCCACAGTTGGTGGCTGGCTGCAGAGCTGTCGCCCGAAGGCCACTCACCTCACCCAGCTTCTGGAAGTCAAGGCCAGGCTCTGGGACCCATGGGCATTTGGAACACTTTCATGGAAAGCCAGGCTTCTCAGGCGAAGGTGGTTCTCTGCAGTTGGGAAGCAGTGAGGCTCTTCGGTGCCTCAGGACAGGTGACCTAACCTCAGTTTTCTTGACTATAAAATGGGCTGATAGATGCCCTTGAAATGAGGGAAGATTACCTTTACTGCCAGCATCTCCCCACTGGTGTCCATGAAGTGGATTCCACCATTCATGCGAATTATTCAATATTGCCTAAACTTGACTTGAGTAGGGAACTACTTGTTTTTCACAGTCACTATAACTCAAGATCCGTCAAGCCCGCTCTACGTGGCTTCCCCCATCATTCTGTCCTCAGGGAACAACCAAACTGAGCTGTTTTCCTGTGAGTTTTCATCCGTGGTCACACCAGAGACAGGAGCATCCAGGCCTGAGGAAGATGAGCCAGCTGACACCCAACCATGTCAAAGCAAAAAGGGCCACAAAACCTCTTTTTCCAGCTGCTTCTTTTCCAGGTCTTTTGTGGACCTGAGGGAAAATCTTCACACACAAGATTGGTCTGAGGTAAATCAGTTTTAGGCCACGCAGAAGCAGAGAATCAACTATATCAAAGCAAAGAAGATACACAAAATATTTGTGGGTCAGGCCTTGGTGAGGCCTCACACATGCTTAGCCTGACAGTTTACGCTTCTGGAACTTTCCCCCTGGTCCACCTTCTTCTACCAGTAACACCTTCTTCTATTAGTGCCCAGACTAGCCCACAGAAGCATTAAGAGTTGTCATCAGTCCAGGAAAGAGTATGGCAGATAAAGTAGGGACAGCTTGTTGACCGCCCAATTCTTCGCTTCTTTCCTGCCAGTAAAGTGTCATATTATTGAGGGCAGCAGTGTGCTTTGATGAGAACAGCGTGCCTCTCTCGCAGACAGGAGTGGTTAATGAGATATAAGCCAAAGTCTTTGGTTTTGGCTTCTGAATAAGCTCTTTATATGGGGCTGAGTCATCTAAGAGGCCCTTCTTCCTTCCTGCTGCCTGGAACATAGATACAAGGGCTGGGGCTCCAGCAGCTGTCTTATGACCATAAAGCAATTCTGAGAATGGAAGTTATATGATAAGGAAGTTGGAGCAGATGCACTGGAAGAGCCTTCGTCCCTGATGATCCTAGAACCAGGCTTTCTGCCCTGGATTTCCTCCCCTGGATTTCCTTCATGTGAGCCCAGGGTGAAATCCTATCTCATTTCAGCCTGCGATTTGGGCTTTCTGTAATATGTGGTTGAACCTAATCCTAAGTGATACCACTGGCTGCTTAAATCATGCTGTATCACCATGACTGGAGAAACAACTCTAAACTCTTCTAAACTCTGGTGGAGTAATTATGTTTTCTTTATCTCTATATACAATGAGCAGCACATCTGAAATCTTTCGCCATCTCTACCTTCTTTGGCTTTAAGCAAATGTTCTGAATGTCTGCGCTCAGATTTATACGAAAATAAAAAGCAAAGATAAACCTAACCATGGGATGGAATAAATGAAGCTAGCTCATTCATTCATCCACAG